ACTGACTAGTGTTAGTAATGGTGGCTCTGCAGGAGACTTTCCACTGTTAGAAAGTGTTCAAAGCAGGTGCAAAGGGAATAAGGAGTAAATTTGTATCAAGAAGATAATTGATTTAATATGCACTTAAATAAAGCAGCAGTTTGCTATCTCAAAATCAACATTTAAAATTAGAAACCGTAAATGAGTTTTTTGGCATAAGTCACACACTCAATGCACAAGACTTGAGAGCTCTGTGTTGGGTATCATTTTGAATACTGTATCAGCATCCACTGTCATAGGCAAACCATTACTCTTTTATCTTTTCTCTATAGTATACAATTACATACAAGTTATTGCTTTATTCAAATTTACTTCCATACTAGATGTTGCAGAGATTGTGTTCATCACTTTCTTCTTCTTTGAGATGATGCTGAAGCTTTATGGTCTTGGTCCTCAGCTGTACTTCAAATCTCAGTTCAACACATTTGATTGTGTGGTAAGAAAAGGGTTTCTTTGTTAAATGTCAGCTTATCAAGAAGTCGAGATATTTGCATGTACAAACAGTGAGCTGAATGTTAATGATACCTTATTTTCTCAAATAAGTGCCTACACTTTAATTTGACATGCATGCACAAACAGTGAGCTGAATGTTAATGATACCTTATTTTCTCAAATAAGTGCCCACACTTTAATAAGTACCATCCCCCGAATATGTGCTGACTGCTGTGGCCATTGTATCAAACAATTGCACCTCTTGAATAAGTGCCCCCCTCCTCCCTCACTTTCTTGAATAACAAGGTTGTAAGAAAAATCTGTTTCTACTGCCATTTTATTTATAACTTTTCAAGCTTCAACTACAGCAGAATCAGTTGAGGAGAATAAGAAGCCCCCCCTCAATTAAGTGCCCTCCTTCCAGCAAACACCCTTCCTTTTAGCTGAAATTTTAAATAATAGCCTTAAACAGCCATACTTTCATTTATTTCAGGTTGTGTGCTGTGGTATTATTGAACTAATTATTTCAAAAGCAGAAGGAACAAGCTTGGGTATATCTGTACTTCGACTCTTGAGGCTTTTAAGACTTTTTAAATTTACCAGGTAAAAATTTAGGCTTGTCCTTTTGTTTTTCAAGTGATGCCGTATTTCATGTCTAAGACAGATAGCAAAGTGTTGGGATACTTTCTCTCTCACAACCAAATTGGTTTCACAAGTTTAAAGTTTGATTTTTAATGCTAGATTATCCTTCATGTTGTTTCTTTTGGCAAACAAGCTAGAACACTGATTGTTTTTACTGCACCAGGTATTGGTCCTCTTTGCGCAACTTGGTGACATCCCTGTTAAGCAGTGTCCGATCCATCCTCAGTTTGCTGTTCCTTCTCTTCCTGTTCATTGTAATTTTTGCTTTACTGGGAATGCAGATCTTTGGTGCAGGGTAAGTTTATGATAGATAATATTCCAATATTTTGATTTTCTTTTATTTGTTTTAATCTTTCCAGTTTCCTTGTTGCACTTCTCCGAATGGTCTTGAGGTTCATTAGCATTTGCACCATCAGTGATCTTAAGTAAAAGCATAAACTTAAGAATAACTGGCAACTCATATTAGCTCGAAGAACAAGCATGATTTCATACATTTTCAGTCGAGGGGTGGCAATTATGTGTGAGGCAAGGGACTCCTCTCCTCTGGTTTGTTGTGTACCTTGCACTTGCCTCTCCTTGCATGAATACGCCCAACAAAATTGTGTTCTGCAGGCTAAATTTCAAACGACTTAAGAGTTGAAATGTATAATGGTTCAATTGTGGGTTTAAAAAGGCTTTTTAAAAAAACAAACAAACAAACAGCATAAAAATCGTGACAGTTATCAACTAGGGTTTTAACGTGAATTTTGACCTACAGTCTGTAGTCAAAAATGATGATCAATTTTCATTCTTGTCATCATCTAACAGCTTCAGGGATCTTCCTGGAAGAGATGCTAATCCTAGAACGAATTTTGACAATTTCTGGAATGCTGCATTAGCTGTTTTTCAGGTAAGATGTTAAATCAAGTACAGTTTTTTTTCCTAAATCATAATCTGGCAATTCTAGACACAAGTCCCCTTTTGAGGTTTAACATATTTTAAGTTCAGATTTAAAGACAATGAAATAACTCTCAAATGTAAAACATTAAAGTTATTGTAACTGATTGAAAAGGTTAATTTTCATCTCTGTTAGTGGAAAGTGACCTTCACTATATGGAAATTTCATTTGATTGTAACAAATTACAGCTCTGATCAGGAAGAGTAACTGATAGAGTTTGTAAAAGGCCTTTTGTTCTTTTTACTTCGACCCATTGTGTCGTTCTTTTAAACTCAACGTTAAAAGTATCATCCATTCGATATTTTCTTTCTTCCCAATGCCTGTCTGCTTGATATCGTATTGCATCTAATTTCTCCCTCCCTACATGCATTATATCACTCTGGAATCAAACACTAACGTCATGAATATGGAGGAAATAATCACCAACTGAAGCAGCTCTTGATTGTTTAACAAATTCTCTCAGTCAGCACCCTAGGAAATGTATAGGGAACAGTGTGAGGAATAATCGTACTGGAGTTAGTCTGTAAAGGGTCAAAACGGGGTCTACTTTATTTAAGTTTTACTGAATATCGTTTTCTGTTCATATTTAGATCTTAACTGGGGAAGACTGGAATGCCGTAATGTATGATGGCGTCTTGTCACAAGGATACCCTGAGAAACCTTTTGCTCTGGCTTCGGCGTTGTATTTTGTTTTACTCGTTGTACTTGGAAATTGTATCCAATGATACCATAATATTTAAATTAATTTTCATATTATGAGCAATGATACGTGTAACATGACGGCAGAGCGAGTTGTGTGTCAAAAGTAACCCGGAATTTTTTTTTTTTCACCAAACGAAGCTCCGTTATTGGTCAGAAATTACACCCACTCTCTTAACCGATCAAATGCAAGACTAAAACCGATTGCGTTTTCCTGCGCTTCAGAAAGTTAGTTTGTTTTTCGACTTTGAGTTCTGGTAAGCTCTGTGTGGTCTTTCATTGCTGTTCTGGGTGCTCTGATTACTACGTTTCACGACACTCAGCCGTAAAGCGCTCTTATACCATGTTTCGATGGAGATTCCAATCAGTTCTGACCATCTTGTTATCAAGACCAACATTTCATGACCCCGAGTTGGACTGGTCCTCCGTCTAAGCCAAATGGGTTGACGGAAAGATCAGTAGATCGTTACAACATTTGTACTACGGAGTAACAAAGCGCCAGGAAACAGTCGATGTGTGTCTTCCTACCAAGTTTTTCTTTTGAATTGGAGCCAGTAATATGGCGGTAAAACTTGGCAAAATGCAAGAGGAAGTAACGTGAGATGAACTACGAGTGCCATTGAATCTAGGAATGGGGGAGGGGGGAAGGGAAGATTGTTCTCTTAATATGCAGTCAATTCAAGATACGACATTGGTTGGCAACAGGAGTGATTTTGTTATATATAACGCCATTTAAAATAACTGTTTAGTGAGAATTTTATATGCACCTTAACAAAATGACCAGATACTCTTCTTAATGTATTCTTGGCCATTGCTGTGGACAACTTGGCAAATGCTCAGCAACTGAGTCAGGACGAGGAAGCAGAAGAAACTGCAAGAGAAGAAAGGAAAAAAGAAATAGTTGATCAGTACCGAGATTATGGCTCTCCCGGGCCGAGCCCAGGGTGAGACGCATAATAAATTTTATGATTTAAATGTGGATTCTTGTTACTGTTTTTCCATCTTTAAGCGCTAAGCCTAACTTTTTTTTAAACTCGTCTTTCTAACCCTGACCTAAGATCTGATTATTAATTCTCCCCTCTAATTGGTACACATTTCCTTGTAAATTAGTTGCGAGAATTTGGTGCTAGATCAGGATAACAACTTCTACCTAATAAGTTTAAGTATTCTCGTTACCTGTTTGCTGGATAATGTGCAGATACTCCAGGGAGAAGTCGCATGTTAATCACTTCTGGGAATTAAAGGGTTGACTCGCAGTTCCTCAACAGAGGAAGGAATTTTGATGGAGAACAGAAATATGACACAGAAGTTTCACGATTGATGTGTAAGTTTACAGGCTATAACAGATATGTTTGGTTGATGTAGTTCTAATATGTTTCTACTTGTTCCCTCAGACGCAATGGAGATGCGAGAAGGGTGAGACTTCTTTGAAAGTTCCATTTTTGTTTTATTCAATATCTTGGAATTATTATTGTTACCTTCTTTTTATTTGCTCCATCTTTAATTCAGAGGCAACTAATGCAATCACGTGTATTCAATACTAACGTTTTGATGCTCTATGTGTAGGGTTTTGATGAAGCTGGACCTACTGAAGATGAATTCGAGTCAGAAGCTGATGATGGTATGTTTAGCAACCGTTCCCCTTTTATTGTAATGATTTTGCCAAAAGTTCCCTCTTCTGTTCGGTTGTGTCGCCATTCAGAGTTCAGTGGTAATGCACCCTACGGAGAGGGGTTAGGGTGGGGCAAACAATGATAGAGAGGTATTTAGGGTCACCTGACGGCTATCAATCAATCATGTCGCAGGGGTGGTCTTAAAAGTGGCCACTAAAGGTAAATGCTATGATTGATTCTTTTTTACGCGTTGGTGATTGGTCAATTCTAGTCATGTGTAAGTGATTGTGCTCTCTCATTAACCAGTGAGTTAAGTGAGTTGCGTGTGATACTACTGTTCAGGTTTGGAGATCTCCATCACAGAATGTACATCTTGGAAAAGAGTAAATCTTCTCCATCCTGGCCTTCCACTTCATTTATTTCACTTAGGGACAAGTCATTGTTTATCGCCGGAGGGGGAAGGGGGGGG